GGGGCACCAGCTTTCAGTGGTGTGTTTTTTGGGGGCAGGGTTTTGTTCGCATTGTTCAATATCCATTCATCCCTTTTGTTTTTGATACTAGGGGGGCACCTGCGAGGGCACCAGGAATTTATTGGGGGGGGGCCACGTGTCTCCCAGCCCCCCCCCCACACCACTACAATCATGTGCCATATGCTGCAAATGTGGAATGCATTTAAATTTGCAAGAACTGAGTGTAACAGTATAAAGCTGCATTAACAGAACTTAGAAGCAAACAAGAACAAAAACCTAACCAGTTGTGATGTAAGTTTTTGAATACGTAGTACTCTTAATATGGCAATTAGTATTTGCTCAGAATTGTTCTGAAACAACAAATCTCACCACAAATGTCTTCAGGTGTAACCCTTTATCAGTAGCCCTTTTTAGCCACGAGTTGCCAAATCTCTCACTCGAAAATTAATGGAGAAAACGAGTTCCAGTGAAGGGAGAGATGCCATGTAACATAAATTTCCCCATCCACATTTCACTTGACACTTTACAATCAGACACCTGGTGTGCTGTGCATTCCAATGCAACAATGGCAGAGTGCAGGTTGAATCATGGAAGCCCAGCTAGCTCTATGGTTGAATCAACCTGTTTGTCACCTGCTTCAATGGCTGTGTTATTTACGGTACCTGGGGCGTTGTTACTTGTAATAACCCTGAGTGACTGATTGCCCAATCCACCATGCAAGTAATTGGTCAATGGGCCCTTAGAGTAGTGAGGGCCAGTGGGAAGATGGGGAGTGGGGGAGGAACATTCCTCTCCTTGAGGTCAGGAGTTTGGACCTGTTTGTTGAAAACTGACGGATCTGATGAAGAAAACTAGGTGGGCTTTTGGTTTTGAAGTGGCAATGTTGTGGTTTGAGTCCTTATGAGAATCCACAGGGGGTACATTAGCTAAGGCCCAAAAAATATAGTTACACACTATGACGTTTCCTGTTTCTCTGCCTGCTGTACTCTATTTTGACAGCACAACCCTGATTCTTTGGGGGGGGGCAGAAATCGTTTTAAAATGTGACATCAATTGGAAATAAAGACAGAAAAACAATGTGCTTATCTTAGTTCGGATGTGGTGCAAACAAGGCTCAATGTTTTGATGCCTGCAACTAGTCCCATTTGAAGTGTTATTCGCTTCACTTGAAACAAATGCCCCCCCCCGATCTCCCTCGCTGTTCTTTTTTTAACCAGGGAACACTTTGCTGCAGACAGAATTGGTATTTCAGAAAGTGCACTCAAATCCTACCCACCCGAGTTTCACATACACGTACCATGTACTGGAAAGCAGAAATTGTTTTACCTTAATTAGCAATCACGCTTGAAAACTAGGCAGTCTGCGAACCAGTACTTTTTTGATTATAAAATGAGATTTAAGTGCTTGTATGCTGAAAAGGTGCAAGTCTTTGCAAGGCTGGATCCAGAGCCAAATTAGGCGAGGGGTCAAAATTTTTTTTCGGGGGGAGGGGGGGCTTAAATTTTGGCAATTTCTTTATGTAGCCTTTTAAAGCCTTTTGGAAGGCAAGGCTAAAGTTTGAGGCCCTTTAAAAGCTTTTGAAAGGAAAGGAGGGCAGAGAAAAAGGCAACTAAACTTCCCTTTTACAATTATTATCAAAAAAAGTCAACTGCTCCTTCGTGGAGCTACATTTATGGCACACAAGACAGTCGAGTGTCTTGAGTCCTTTTGCAAATACACGCACACCTGTACAAATTTGTCTCCCCCATCCGTGTAATCTGTATGCCAAGGGTTCCTGCACCTAAAGGACAGTTAAATTCCATGACTTTCCCATAACAAAATTATGAAAATCCATGACCCAATAACCCAATTTCTTGGACTATTAGGCCTTTTCAGTTGCAAATACAATCACACATTTTATGCACTTATTTCTGAGAATAGAAATCACATACAGTGTTTCAAAAATTCCATGACTTTTCCTTGACTTCAGTCACTTTTACAAAATTCCATGACTTTTCCAGGCCTGGAAAATGAAAACAAATTTCCAAGACTTTTCCATGACTTTAGTCACTTTTACAAAATTCCATGACTTTTCCAGGCCTGGAAAATTAAAATAAATTTCCATGACTTCTTCATGACTTTCCAGGCCACAGGAACCTTGGTGTGCCTATGCAGCTACACCAGGCCCTAGGCACCAGTGTTCTATAGGCCCGACTCCTATTCAGTCACAGGCACCAGCCTCAATGTCATTGTAGCCTGGTTAGCATCATGTCGATGCTGTTAACTAGCATTGATAACCTATAGACATGCACTGCGTGTAGCTTTTCCCAAACTGGAAATTCAAAGAGAGAAGCACACTGTGGTATCTTTGTAGGCTCTCAACTTTTTCATAGGCACTCACATTCTTTTTGTTGGACCTTGGGACCATGCCTCCGGTGCCCCAGGTCCAGACTTGAAAGGGGAATCATCTACACCATTGGCACCATGTTTAGTATCCGAAAAACTCTTTGAGGAAGATCGACAAATGATTCTAAAAAGAAGATTAGCCAGTGACAAAATCTCACACAGATGCAACTTTTTACTGGCTCTGAGTGTTACTGTCCAACACAATGGTCTTCAATCCTTGTCGTACTCATGTTTTAGCAGTACAGCTGATCCAATGGGGAAATACCAAGCATGCTCCTCGAGCCCCCCCCCACCTTAAAATTAAATATGTTCTTCTTTTTCCTTTCTCCTTTTTTTTCTCAACTCGTTATTTAATAACTGTAAAGATGGAAAGTATCAGGAAAAATATGCCTTGTTCATGATTCCAGGTTTTCCTGTGGTAGCCCCCGAGGTCAGTGCTGCCCTCCCTACCCGAATGGACCCAATATCCAAGACATTTCATCACGTGTCTTACCCATAACATCTTCCTTGAATCAAAAACCATACAATCTCTTCCTGAAAATAAACCTGATGTTATTCCACACTCTACGACTTCTTACCTGCTGTATCGATACTGTAAAAAAAAATCAGCATGTCATTTACGCTGTCATTTGTCCAGCTGCTGTTACATTTTGATGGAGGGAAAACTGGGCCCTAAATATCTAACAAATGACATAGCCATTCATTCATTTAAAAAAAATCTTTAACCAAATAAGGAAATTATACAAGTTCTGAGTTCTGGAATGTCCAAACCTACTCCCTCCTGAAAAAAAGAGAAAACTGGACACAAGCAGAAACTGGGCATGCACCTTGTCAACCATTCCATTCATGACAAATTGCCATAAAATAAATTTGGATTGGAAACAGTACTGGATGCCAGTGGTTAACGGTCCTTGGAATCTGGTTAGCCGTTGGGTCAGGCTGTTCCTTGCTCTTTGGGTCAGGGCAGCCATGCACTGCCCAAACTTCCTCGTCACGAAGTCCCCCCCGCCCGCCAACTCCACTGTCAACTGGTCAACAACGACTGCTGTGGTACTACTAAGCTGTCGGCTACAACGGCCTACGCGAGGGGTACGCAAAGTGTACATGTAACTTGCGGAAACTTTACAATAAAATGTACAGCGTATGGTTTCTTTTTTATATGGTTAACTTCACTAACTCGTCATGCATTAAAAAGTATACAACGAAGCCTGGATGACAGAAAACTTACCAGGTTTTACTTCTAAATAGACATGGATGAACTGTGGGTAGACAACTGTGGCCCGCTCGACTAGACTCTATAGTCGTCTGCCGGTTACAAACTTCAGTTTAGAACTTCATTCCTATGGAGCACCTTTTTTCCTACAAATAACATCAGCTTTTAGGACCGTGGGATTGCAGAATTTTCCAGGAATTCCCCCAAAGTTGCCGTGCCATAACTTTATTTACGTTGTCTCAAGGTACAGACTCCGACTGAATTCTTCTTTATGACTTTGAGCCAAGTTTATCAATGGAGTGACATCTTTAGGAGTATTTGTCTTCCGTGGCTGCCCATACTACTGTTGCCGAGACCGTGGGATAATGATGCTCCCCAAAATAAACTAGCGGCCGGTAATGGCCTTTTGTTCGCTCTCAAATCACGGGAAGTTGCGGCCGCTTGTGTGTTAACGGACAGGTGCTCCTCATGAATGCCCGCTAAAATCTTTCGGAAATGCAAACAACCGGCGCCACTGTTTGGACGACACCTTAAGTGTTTGTCTGGACTTTCAATTGGTTAGTGTTCAAGTGGACCCGTTTACAACCTCTTAAGCGCAGACTAAAGTGGTCTTTTTTTTTCTTTTTTCAATCCGCTAACACAAACCCCAGATGTTTTTCTGCGACCCCATTAGCTTTCTGGGGCTTACATAAAATCCCCTGGCTCCCCAATCAATAAAAACCACTTTAAGGTCCATAACTCAACTCCAACCACTTTTTTTGGATAAAATTCACACGTTCCAACAATAAATAATTACCACGATGATCACAACACATATTATTGCTGAAAACATCGATTTTATTTCCATAAGTATCGATTTTAAACACATCTCTTGCTTTTTCTTCTTTAAAGTGAGTTGTACATCAGTGCTGTACAGTATATTAAATTGTTGCATGGGCCGAAAGCCTAGATAATTATGGGCTACTGTAAGTCCCAAAAATCTGTGATAACTTGAAAAATCGAACGGCTTTTGGAAAAGTACAGGCTCAGTGAAATCAAAAAGAATTCAGAGAAAATGTCATCAACTTTTAGACACAAATCAGACGTGCTGTCGATTCTCCTGACAGGCTTAGTTGTTCTAAAACAAGAGTTTTAAGTTTCAAGAACGTCTCCAAAAGGAACCACCGGAAATGGGCAATTAATTCTCTTCTGTAATCAGTGGATTTTATGAATGTTTGATCTCATTCTATATTACAGACAATGAAGTTGTGATTTATTTCGGTTCTGTATTTTCTGGTGAAAATTTGGCTGAAATTGTTAATTTGTATATTTGACATTTTAAACAGCACAATGAAAACACAGTGGGGAAAAAACAACAACAGCATATTTTGAGCATAAATTATGTTTTGGGGTCAGGAAGAATACATACAAAGATATATCAAACAGGTTTCAATAGCATTGGAAAAGATGAAAATCTGTGAAAGCTTAAAACTATCATCTAGTCTCTTTAACCATTCAAAAGATGACTTTGTTCTTCAAATGCTTCTAACGAAGATGTTACTTATGTGGCATATGCGCATTAGGGTTTGCATGAAGATAAGTGACTTAAAGCAAAACAGACTAAGCAAACAAAATTTGAACTTAATTTTAGATTTTTTATGATCTGGCAGATTTCAAATGCTAAAAGGCAGAAGAAATCGTAGTAAAACAGTGATAGTGAATTTAAACACAATCCCTGGAATTCATATCTCTAAGTATATACAAAATGAAGATGCTGTGACAATGTAATTAAGTCACCAACTTTTGAAACTATTTTTTGGCTCACATAAAAGTTTATAATCTGGCAATTTTTATTTACACTCTTTAGTACATGTACATTGGGTCATGAACAAATTGCATAATTTTGAAGAAAAAAAAAGTAGTGGCTCCGCGTCTCAATCAAAATAAGTGTCCCTGGGAATTTTTAATTACAGTTTTTTTGGCTGAACATACAGATGACAATAAAATGTGAACTGTTATAAACTTCGCAAAGTCTGTGAAAGCAGGTCTTAATGGACAGCAGACAGTCTTCTTATAAGAGAACTTTTCATTACTTGAGCTTGACCAATATCAGTCTCCAAGGTACCATTTTGACGAATGCATCACTTGCAATCTTTTACGAGTGCTCTGGTAAAAATGAATGAATGGTGTTATTTCACTGAAGTCACTAAGTACACACATTCGCTGGGCACAGAAAACATATGCTTAGCAAAAAGAGGTTACCAGTTGGAATACTATGTGGTCTGTGTTTCTATTAACTGGTTCTCGGTAGGTTGGTGATTGAATTACAATCTTGTTTAGCAGCTTCATGACTCTTGGTCAAGATGTCCTCAATGGACAACTTTTCACAACACAATGTACACAATGCATGGACTGTCCTATGCTAGATTGGTACCATGTCTGGCAATCATAAGTGGTATGCCCGGGAGGGGGGTGGCATAATCCCGGAAATTGGACAGGGAAGGAATTGATTTGTGCTACAAAAATGGCACATTTTCAGTTACCAGAGTGAATGATTTAAAAGCTCGCAATGTTGGCAATTTGAAAAGGGCGGCTGGACGTCATATTACACTGAACGATTGTTTTAATATTAAATGTTTCATGTATTGCATCCAATCAAATTTTTCAAAAATACGATCTACCATTTTTTCAGAAAATGAAACATTCCCTCTTTTTTTCCCCCTGAATGTAAAAGATCAAACTATGCAGTTTGCTGCTTAGGTAACGACTGGCTGCTTCCATTGAAAAGAATTTCTTCTACAGCACTCTGTTGCCTGCCATTTGCAACCAACAGAGGGTGCCCTACTTGCATGCATGCAACATCATATTTGACTTTTAAAAAGCTCATTAGTGACAATCATGATTACATACTCATTGGAGGAAATTATTGCACTTTGGTTTTTTTATCAACTGTTAAATTTGTTGCACGCCATTTTCCATCTCAAAATAACTCTGATTTCTCTTTTTTGTTTGGTTCTGTCGACCAAGTCTGACCATGCACTTTGCATAAGAGCCAACACAGCCTCCTTCATATTTACATCAACATAACAATCTCTTTCAACCGTAGAAGGAAAATGTGGCCACCAGAATGACCCCAAACAACAAAATCAACAACAAAATGCAAACAATAAACAGGATTGTGTCTTTGTAGACCTTTCAGAAAACTACAGTGCTGAAAAAAAGGTCAACATTTAGTAAATTTAAGTAACATTGATTCTCTCTTAAAAAATAAATCTGCCTACTTTTTACACAGTCGTCTCAATGTTATAATATACTCTGTCAGTGAGTCCTTTTTTCTTCTTTTTCATTATGGCAGCACAATTCTCTACAAAAAGCTAAAAATGTAAATATCTTACTGTCAATTGAGTATTGGCAACTTGCCAAGAATCTGATCGATCAGATTTTCATTTTTCTTAACAATGTCCAATTGCAGCCTTTATGCAAAGTGCAACTGTTCACATTCAGTCTACGAATAAATTACAAAGGTAAACTAACTTTGACTGGTCTCGAGCCGTTCTGGCTCCTCGGTCACCACAAACCTCTTCCCAGGATTCTTCAGAGTGGCCCAACTCAGTGTGAACATACAGGTGTCACAGTGGCCCTGGCAAACTACAGAATAGAAGAAGCGAGACCGGCCATTGTGGAAAAAATCACTTGGTTTGGACCAAAAAACAATTTTGCTGGCCTTTGCTGATAAATTAATTTAGAAGCCTCAGAAGAATGCCTGTTTGGAATGCTCAGACCTCCAGTATCTACTGGTCGTTATCAGCGAGTTGACGGGTACTCCATGAACAAGCCTTGGTTGCTAACTATCCATTCATCTGATGTACTTGCCACTTCACTCCTCTGCAGGTAAGCTCTTGCATCCACCAACACAGTCTGGACGCCGATTTCATACGGCTGCCAAGCACAGAATTTTCGCTGAGCACAGAGAAATATCTGCTTAGCATAAGTAAGTCGCCGGCCACAATCTCCTAACACGTTTCGTGTGCTGCCACCCAGCTGAAGTTTTGCTAAATCAGATGAATTTGCTGAGCACTTTGTCTTTTGCTTGGCAGCTCTGTGAAATTTGGCCCTGCAGTCGACATGCCAAACTTGTGGTCTAGGGACTCTATATGAGAACAGTAAATGGCACCGAATGGACCGTTAATGAGAGGCAGTGTGCTTGCTTGCACTGGTTTATGTTTGTGTGGTGTGGAGAACATTGCATGGCGTGGAGAACACGAGACCAATTTTCGTCCGAATGTGGACCAAATTCGTAACATCTTTGCATGGCAACTGGCATTCCTAGCAGAAATGTCCTTCAACAGTTGGTCGTCTCTCTCCGTTTGACACCTCTGACAGGGAACTTGCGCACGGGGGACTTGCAAATCCACAGCCCACCAGACAATTCAGCCCAGTGGAAGAGTGAGCGGCAAGCTGGCGGCCTAAAGCAACGCTAGCTGTAGTACTTGGAGGAAAACGTGCCCCGCGTCCTTTCTTTGTTCACAGCTTGCTCAACAAGCTTGTGACACCAAAAAATCCTTTCCTCACGAGGGTTGCGCCCCTCCGGTGGTCCCTGCACATTAAAGAATCCGGAAACTACTCAACCATGGAACGAGTACCAGTTTGTGCTACACAATGACTCACTCCCTTCACTCCTGGACAAGAGTGCCGTGTAACTTTAGCAATATTTTCTACCTGTATACAAGTGTATTCTACAGCATAGCTTGGACAATTTCATTTTGTGCCCAGGTAAAATTTGCATAACCAACAAATTCTAAATTTGTGCTTATCCTCTAAATACCATTTGCAGCAAGAAATTTGATAAGTACTATAAAAGTTGGTCTAGGTAAATGACATCTCTCCATTCATCCGTTGTTGGTGCAAGCTGTTATGCATTTGGCTTCCAGCCGGTGGCTTGCAATCTACAGGCCAAATGACAACCTGGCCTGGGATTGTGGCTACCAGAAATGATACCGGGAAGATACCAGGCACCTATCACCCAGAAGAAAGTGTGAATCTGCTGGCCGCTAACATGTGGCCTTCAAAAAAGGCTTCCAGCCAGCAGGCAGCCAGCCAGTTATTCTCCAGACCACCCAGTTTTCCACCTTTGGTGAGTGGCCACTTGCTACTGGCTAGTGTCTTGGCAGTTGCCGGTCTAAAAAGCAGGCTGTCTAAGAAACAAAAAGGTCTTTTAAGAATTGAGTAGCAGGCCAATAACTTACAGGCCAAAAGACAACCACTTCATTCCACTGGTCCAAAGGTTAGCAGCCACCTGAAATTCTGCTTGCAGCCAGTTTGGTGGCTGCCAGTGGCTCCACCTTGGACCAAAAGTTAGTGGCCTCCTAGAATTCCACTGGCCATTTTTTTTGGGCCGACAATCATAGAGACAATACACCACAGACCACCGTCTTGCCCCAACGTTAGTGGCCACCTGAGTTCTGTTGGCCACTGATTTCTTGGCCGGTGGATCAATTACAGGGCAGACCACCGAACATGAAGACTTCATCAGTTACATGCAGGCCAGATCAACTAGGCAATCAACATGGACTATTCAGCCTGTGGCCTCACTGCACCTGTTCCCTAAAACACCGCCAGCTAATGAATCACATCGTATAATGACAGGGTCCAACTACTGGCAGACGACAGAAAGAATGTTGCTTGTCTCTTCCAGCTGCTTTCCTGCTTCCACAACCCCTTGGATTTCTTTGGCCTCTTCAAATAACTGCAAAAGTCAAACGAGACGAAAAAAAAAATCATTTGGAATAGGTCTCAAGTACACAGAATCAGGTGATGCCAACATTTCATTGGTTCTATTGCAGTCGGTCTCAATTTTCTTTCAATCTCGTTGACTAGTTTTTGAAACTAGGATACTGAACTACCTCGTGAGGCAGGCATTAGCAGGGTGTGCAAGTCAAGCTCTCTCTGGAGTCTCCAAGTACACCAAATATAAGGAGGTAAAGTGGTTATTTAGGCCAAGCATGCAGGCTAAAGAGAGGCAGAGAGAGGGTAAGAATACGAACGTTCAGACACACAACCTGGCGTGGAAATGTGTCACTCAGACTTGAGTCTGACGCTCAAGACTGGGGCACAAGACCAGGACTCAAGTCCGCCACTCAAGTCTGGCTCTCAAGTCTGGCACTCTGGTTCAGCACTGAAGTCCAGCACTCATTTCCGGGACTCATGTCTGGGACTCAAGTCCAGCACTCAAGATCAGGACAAAAGTCCAGGTTTGTTACAGGATAAACATTTCAACCTTTCTCGCAAGTTCTTGCCGAGCGCTGTCCCCGTTCCACACAGATCTCTTTTTCGTGAGGCAGAGAACCAACTTACCTCCGAGTATTTCACATCTTGGAAAAGCTCCTGAATGAAACGCCGGGCCGAGAGGCGATAGCTGCAGTTGCCCAGGAGGTAGGCAACATCAGAATACAAGCAGGCGTTCTCAAATGTGGACGGGAATTTCTCTTTCAAGCTGATAGTTGAGAGGTGGGAAAGGAAAAGTTAATCAATCGTGAGAGCGAAATGCTGCATACAATCAGCAATTATCAAATGCCTGTATCAATTTCTACGGTGCAAGAACAGTTCAGCAGATAATTGTTATTGACTGAGCTAAATTCTCAACAGAACCATTGGTCTTTTTAGTCCCTTGAAATCTTTCAGATGTGGGCCACTTTGATGAGAGGTTTTACTGCCAGATGGAGCACTGATTGGGTTCATCAGATATATGACTTGGACCGCCTGAGATTTCTGGGGAGCATACGGTTCTATTCCCATACAAACTGCTATTAATTCCAACATAAGAAATATACCCGTCTTCAAAGCCAACTCTGTACCTTTAAATGGAAACAAGCAATTGTGATAAAGTGTTCTGCCTCAGAACAGGCGTCCGATCACCCATCAGGCTGGACTTGACCACTTGATGCACAAAATGACCCATAAGAGATTAATGCAAAAGGCCACAAAATACAATCAGCATTCTACACTGCAATGTTCCGAGAGGGATTGGTTTTGTGGGGGGGGGGTTTACCTTAATAATCCTTGTTCCTGTGCCTTCATGCCCACCGAGCTGCTCAAGTTGATGACCAGGCGCAGCACCTCCTTGCGGATGAGGGCCCGACCCCGGGGGGTGTCCTGCCGCATCCGGGTGGACTGGTTGGAGTCTGAGCTGCTGTGGCCGCTGGCCGTGCTGGCCGAGGACATGTCGGCGCTGGTCGGTGTGTAGCGGCTGCTGGCTGCGCTCGAGCCGCGCAGCCGGGGCCGGGTCTGGGGCAGGCCGCTGTCTGCTTCGCTGATGGAGCGCAGCCGGTCATCATCTGTGGAAACCGGAGCGAATGGTAATTTTGAAAAGAAGATAAAAGCGTGAAGTTTCTGCATAGCAAGATAAGTTACCAGCCCGAAGCTATGGGTATGAGCATTAAGAGGGCACAGTTATCCAGCAATAAGTACTCTTTGGCATCAACGGCCAGAAATTCCCTGGTTGTCACATACCATTCCTCATTTAATTAATGAGCCTGGTACAATGTAGACTGCTCCCCAAAAGACTACTCACACTGAAAGGGCATACGGAGGCTGGAACCTGACACATGGCTCAGGCTTGTTTGTATGCGCAGAGTGATGCTGCTTAGCAGCTCTGTGAAACTGCGCAAACTTTCACTTAGCTGCCAAATGTGTTAAGCATAGTCCAGCAGAGAACCAGTCTACGGCAAAATACGATGCATTACATTCTGGCTGGTAACCCACTTCTGCTCAGCAGATATCGTTTTGGCTGAGCAAAGTTTGTATGTAACAGCTCTGCGGAACAAAATAGACCCTGGTCGCTGAGGTTTGCCGGTTCTTCTTTGTAGGCGCGATCAAGTCCAAGAATGGACATAGTGGCTACAGCCACTTACTGTGAGACTCTAATGGTAGAAACCAAAGGCCTTAGCTCATAAATATCTGAGACATGGCTGAGCTCTGGGACCGACACAGTACCTTCTTCATCGGGATCGTAAACGCTCCGTGCTCTCATCTTGGTGCAGAGGAGGCAGTGTTCGGCCTGGTGCTTGGTGTCCTCGCTGAAATCCACCTCGGCCCGCCCAATGCCAATGCCCACGCTTCCGCTGCTCTTGCGGCCGCGGTAGTCACTCTGGGCGTCGTAGCTCTCGTTCACCTGGGACAGTGTCGTAACCGAGTCAGTTTTCTATGAGTCAAATTCGGTCACAAACCGTTGTTCTACTAGTCACGTCACAGGTCGATTCCTCTGGAGTTACAACCCCTAGGCCATTTTGTTCAAATTTACCATTATCTGCAGTCATAACAGACATGACACATGTACGCACAGGCCGTGCAACCAGGAATTGTGAGGAAAATTACAAACTGCATTAGATTTTACACAGAAAGGGAACAATGGAAAACAACGACTGATCCAAGAAAAGCGCCATGCTATGCTTCAAAGCAGGGCCTGACTTGCCTGCCTCATTTTTTCTATCACACCGTACAAGTTACAATGATAAAACGCATGCTGAATAATTGAAACAGGTTAGCTTTTGTAAGAAAGTCGAGGGATTTTGGCATAAATGTGACCTGATCCAGGGAGGAGAGTCCTAAGACCACTTGTCGAGCAGTTCTGTTGCAGTTTGCATAAGAAAGAGCAGAGTGAGCGCTCTATGTTGAGGTTTTACTCACTTTGGTGTCGGGATCAAACTGGATACAACAGGGCCAGACTTTAAAAGCCTTTAACTCAAAACTGGCTCTGGAGACATACGACTCATTTTGCTAGGCTGGGTCACAATTTGTTCAAGTCAAGTCCTGTTCCATGTCATTTCTTCCGAAGTCAAGTCACAAGTCGTCCATTTTCCAAGAAGAGTCATCAGTCAAATCATGAAGTGATTTTAGTCCGACTCAAATGGGGATCTCGAGTCAACTAAACACAAAAACTGACCTGTGGCTCCAGGAAGCGTGAGATGTCCGAGGCCTCCATCTCGTGCATCTTCTCGACGTTGTCGCGGTCATCATCATGCCGCAGCCGGCCGTCAGGGACGAGGGCGGAGGGGTCCAGGCAGCAGAAGTCCTGAAAGCCCGAGGTGTTGGAGGAAGTGCGGGAAGGGGGGTGCCTGCCACCACGGTACTGGCTCTCGTCGGTCTAAAATCACAAACGGAAACAAAACAAGAAGAACATGTTGTCCACTTCATGCCAGATGATGTCTAAACATGCAAGGATTCCTTGTGTCGAAAACACAGACTGAAAAACTCACAAGTTGACTCCAACTTCACATGAGTTAACTGAGTGAAAAACTCATGAGTTGACCAAAACTATGAAAAAGTCATGAGTTGACCACAAGTCTGATAAACTCATGCGAGTCAACGAAAACTCTGACAAACTCACGTGAAAAATGAGACTGACGTCCACCGGCAGACACAGTCCAAGGTACTCCCCGCTCTGCGACTGGCTCTGGGTGTTGGAACGCGGCTTGGGCACACCGCGTATGACGTCCAGTGACTTGATGCTAACCGCTCGGCTATTTTAAAAACAAACAATTCAAACGAACCAATGAGGACAGTTGTTGACAGGCTGATCGACAACCGTGTGCAGCAGCAGAAGGGGGGGAGGCACCCAGCACAGATTTTTCAATGGGGGGGTGAAGGAATACCTAGTCATTTTGCATTTCTTCTCTGCTCCCGTAGGATTTTTGATTCCCAGATACGAAAAGATGTACCCCAATTCTGCCTCTGTTTACGGGTAATCCCTTATCCTTAGCGTGAATGTTGAATCAGCCACCGTGTACAAACACACAGACATGTACATGTAAGTGGGTTCTGACAAATCAACAGATTTGATCACATGTGCTTGCACAACTTAGCGCAGAACTTGTAACAAACGTAGAAGTTCTGCAACTGAGGATTAACTCACAGTGCGGCACGTACTCTGCATGCTTGAACAACGTCGATGGTGGTTGACCACTTCCTGCCGGGTGGAATTTGCATATGCGGGACAAGTTCTCGGGTGATATTCAAGGTTTGCCATTATCAAAATTCTCCACAAATTCATGACTTCATTTACAGGACATTTACACCCACATAAATAACTGTCTGGTGGCTACTCTAATCTGACAGGCAACCTCTGTTGATGCCCAAGTATTGCAGCCAGGCCTGCCGCCCAGTAAAGAGAGCCCAGATTGTGCGGCGTCGCACAATTTCCTTTGTTCCCCAAATTGGCTCAGTGCATTCCTGAATGGCAGTGATGTGTTTTCAAATGCGGCCAGATTAACGTGCAGCGGAACTGTAACGCTCATTGCTGGAGTACTTTTGTCCCCGCTGATAATCCGTGGGCACTGAATGCTGCAAACAGTGCCACACTGTTTCAAATCAATGACGGATTACCTCCGCTAATGCCAGTACTCTGCGCTGAAAAATGTTGGCAATTCCCAGCAGCTCGGTCTTTTGTTTCAAATACGTCGTTTGTTACAAGGCCCAGCTCCTTTGTCCGATTTTGGGCACCCCGGCTATGCGTACAAACCCAAGGTACCCGGTCCCGAGAATCCCAGCACTGAGTGGCTGAAAGTTATTCTTAGCTGACCATGATAAAAACCGACAGTTCTTATATTGGGCACTGCACACACAGTCTCGGTGCACTGATGTCACATGATATTGTTATTTACTCAGCAAAACGCAAAAATTTACTGTTCAATATGAGCCAACTGCTTTTCAGAAGTTTGTGAGAAAAATCTTACTCTGGTAGGAATGGAACCTCCGCCCACTCACTTACTGGTGAAGATGTCTTTACCGGTCAACCACCATGCTTGTGTAGGGGGGCGGGCTTGCTGGTATTGCAGATTAAATGACTTTTGATAGAAATTCATGTCATAGAGATGTAAAACTTTAATGATTTTCCCTTATCTTATCCAACTTTACAAGTACTGAACATTCATTGTTGTTCAAATGTTTGTGAAACAAAATGATACAGTGGCCCTCCCCTAATCAACCCAGAAGATGCCGTAAAACCAAAACTGTTTTGCTTGCTTGTCTTTTGTAGAAATACTTACTCAACTAGAAGGCCCTTCTTCCTCTCTTCTACATGATAGGCCAGCTCATCGTGGCTACTGATGGATGCTGGGCGGTGGGGACTTTGACTCGTGGGGTCACCTGAAATCTGTCGATGAATACGCAACGCCTTCAAGGCCGCATACCCATGCGCGTCTCGGCTGGTGGTGAACACGGCGCTCGTTTCCAGCACGTTTGAATACGGCGTGTTGAAGTTGGAGGAGACAGTCTTGGAGAGGCGTTTCATGAAGCTGGGAGTCCGGGTCAGGTTGTGCTTCCGGCGCAGCGTGTCCGAGGAGTGGACCCCCTTGACCGTCTGGCTGCTGGTGATGGTGTTGAGGCTGGAGTTGGAGGACTCAGGAGGGGGACTGTTAGGGTTGGAGTGCAGGGAGCTGATGCCACTGGTCTGGGTGGTGTCTGTCGCGAAGCTCTCGCTGCGACTCTTGGTGCCAAAGCTGCTGCGCCCGCTCTCATTACTGTCGCAGCGCCTATTGAATGTCCGCTCCCGCATGGAATGCGCCCGCAGCCGCTCGGGTGTGCTCTGCGACTGGAAGCGGGCCATGTTGGGGTTAGGCGAGGCGGCCCGGTGGTGGTGAGGCTTGGAGCTGGCATCACTGTTGCTCCGTAGCTTGGTCACGGGCCGGCCATTCTTGCGCGGCTGGCCTGAGCCGGGGCCTGGCTCCTCCATGGCCGGCATGGTGGCCACACGCCGCAGGATGCTGGTGCGTGGCACGGCCCCGACGTGCCCGATGGTTGCGTACTTGGCATACCGTGCGCTGTCGTGGTTCGGAGTCCGTTGTGGAAGGTCACTGTGTGACCCGGATCTGGTCCGCACTGCAATTTCCACACTGCTCGTACCTTTAGTCCTGATTTCAACCTCACTTGAGCTCATGCGAGTCCTGTGCTCCACTGCCAACATTTTGGTGGGGCTGGATTTCGTTCTGTCACGCCTCCCAATCCTCTGAATGGGCGGGGCCAGTGATGGCGACTTCTCGTCCGTGACGTACTGCTGCCTTTCCTCCCCGTCCTCATCCTCCTCCGAGAATCCCTGGTGGGGGCTGGGGCTCCGACCGGGGCTGACCTCCCCGCTGACGAAGAATGCACTCTCTTCGTCCGGGTCGTTCTCCACGACCAGCTTGGGACTCTCCAGCTCGGGCACCTTGTCGCAGGGCTCCAGCTTGGGGCTGTCCAGGGTGTAGAGAGACTCGCTCAAGGTGGAGCAAGGGGACAGCGGGCCTGTCGGCTCTGTGAACCGGCCCAGCTCGTCAAAGATGTTGTGCCGCTCCTCCAGGACGGGGAAGTAGGCCATGCGAGAGTGGCGGACACTCTCCCACCCCAGGGAGCTCAAGAGATCTGCCCCCTGGCGAGTTTTGGAGAAAAGGCCTAACACGTAGAAGCAAGTTCTGAGGACAGAAACAGTGCCAAACGCATGAATTTCTCTTCAAAATGATACATCTGGCCCACCCTAATATGTCTGGGGCTCAATCTATGACTTAAGAGCTTGGCAACGCATGACCAATGAGCAGTGCTGTACTCAAGACCATCACAAGACCGTGCACATGACAACTCAAATGGCCAGTAATGAGCAACAGGATGAAGAGTGACAAAGGAATGACTTTTTTAAAAAGTTCGTTTGAGTAGCTTGTGAGTCGGATTCAGACTGGAGGTTTGTGCTAGTCCTGTGATGATCTTAAGAGGCGTTGACTGAAACATTACCCCTGACTGAAGGAGATGCCTTACATCAAGTGTCAAAACATTTGAACTTCACTTAGGTTGAATATCATGGTGTTAGTTAACAACTATCAGAAAGTATGGGCTGATTTTACCACAATTTAATGCTAGCCTCAAGCAAAATTTTTCAGGTAAAATTGGCAACGTGGCAAGCTCAGACCTTAAATTAGGAAAGCAATGTGAACTTGGCACCTGTTTTGAAACAATTTGGCATATTTGTGGCGGTCCGTGCTTACGGTAAGCACTAATTCAAACTCGTTTGTTTCAAACTCGCGTTTCTTCTAAGGAGTCCTCCATCTAGATAAAAACTAAACGTGCCTTCATTTTAAACTTCACTCTCCACGAGCAACAACCTATGAAGTGAAAATGGCCTGCCTGAAACTCCCAGAATCCTGCAAATTCCTGAAACTTTTTATAGTGAAGGAACTTTGCGGCTAAGAGTTGAATAAACTCTGCTTTTTGTGGGCAGATGTTGGCGCGCTTCAGTAAAGTCCCAAAAAACGAGCCAAGATCTCTTACCCTCTGACTGAGAAGACCTCGCATTCCTCGGCAAGCCTGATGATGTCCGGTACAATCGATTCCGACGACAGTAGCTGGAGTCCGTAAGACGAGGTTCCTGTGTGGCCCTGAGGAGGGCAGGATGGGGGAGCAAAACATGCGATACTCTTGGACTGCAAACTGTGACTGAAGTTTTGGCACGACTTATTCAAGAGTGTGCATGTTAGGTCCGCTGTTTTGTGGGACAATGTACTGAATAGGGTAGGGATTCGAACATGCAACCTTCTGAATGCAGTTCCTGTGTGCTGCTAGTGTTAGGCTACGTATCCTTACTGTCACTCTGCTTTTCCATTTTTCTGGTATGCAGCCAAACAACCCAGTTCCCAATTCAGTCAATTTTATTTGTGTAACTCAAAATTTAAGAACTGAATCCTTACAGTTTCTAAATTGTTTTGTGGCATTTTTTAACGTCCACAATAACCATAATCCACGTATCAATGGTCTCCCTCTCCACAAATGTACCCAAATTTGTTGCAGGTTTTGGCAATCAGGGTGGGGATTTCAGTCATTCGTTCATTGGAGATGATAAAACTACAACCTCTGTCCCTACCATGATGACTCGGGGGCAGAGTTTGGTCAATCAGTTAAGTAATGATCCCCACGCCTGGGTCATGCTAGCTGGGGGAGGGGGCGGGGAAAGGGGGAACGGAGGGGGCAGGGACGGGAGGGAATGCAAAAAGGGACACACAGAAGAATCCATACCAATGCCCAGAGAGCTGCTTTGAGGCTGAGAATACTGGAGTAGCTGCTGGTGTCGCCGTACCGAACGATATCGCACAAGGTGTGGATGTGTTGCTGTGGGTACGGAAAGGAGTGGGTTTGACAATGTGAAGTAACCACTGTACAAAGGCTAAACAGGACTGTCACAGTGAAATTCTCCGCTAACTCTTGGCTCCACGGCATCGAGAAAAAAAAATATCTCTCGTGGATTGCTAGAAAACTTTCAACCCGAGGAGAGGGGTACAGTGTGATAACACCAAACTGTGACTGCACATCAAAGCTTGCCAAGATCGTGTGTCTCGATGAGGTTTGTTTCAATGAACCAACAAGTTGTGAGACACGATGTCCCCCTTTTTGGGGTGTGGGTGTGGCTGTGGCTCACATCTGGTTACTAGCTCTGTGAATGCTAGGTCAAAATTCACGGAGCTGCTAAGGTCACGAGACTTGGTAAGCACAGGAGATACCTGCTTAGCAAAAACAGGTTGTCAACTACAAAGTCACAGTGTGTGCACTGCTCCTGACTGGTAACCTGCTCCTTTTTGCTAAGCATATATATTTACAGAGCAGTTCTACAGATGCTGGACTTCCCCTACTTTACCTGCTTATCCAAGGTCTCTGAGCCGCCCCTGTGCTGCACTAGCTGGCCGTACAGGTGCACCGGCACGTAGACGTCCCGCCGCTTGCGCTGCTCGTTCTGCGAGCGTCGCACGAAGCCGCCCTCGTAGACGGGCTTCTGGTAGCAGGTGAAGGCCTCGTTGATCTCCGTCTCCACCAGGGTCACGTACTTGCGGTTGTAGACTGAACGCCACTTCTCCAGCTCATGGGTGACGAAGTTGACCTCCGACAGGTACTTGAAGCCTTTTGGGGTGGACAGGAACCTGACCAAGTGGATATTGTTAATGGATGTTTGCTTTTAGAGACCAAGAACATCATGCTCCTCCTTCGCATACTAGACCATTAGGGTCACACTGATGAGGGTAACGTTTACCAAACTGGTCATACCCCTGGTCATACCCCTGGTCATACCCCTGGAAATGTAGACATTGTGGATTCATCTGATCCTCCCCAGTGCCTTTATGCACCGGGTCCTGCAGATTGGCAGTGTCCTTGAGCCCTTATCAAAACCAATCAATGAGTGACACCTGAACCCTCTCCAGTATCTTGTTCGGACTAGCTCCCCTATGTACCTCAAATTGTCTGATGTCCAAAACAGCCTTCAAGATCGGTGTCATCAATGCACTCCCCATCCAAACCCACGAATGGGCATCGCCAAAGCCCTCCCTGGGCTTTTTTAGGAGTGCCACCCCCTCTGTAATCCCACCCCGTACCTTGTTAGGAGCAGCACCCCTCTGTCTCCCATGTGCAGCAAGGAGGGCCTGATCTGCACCAAGCTGTGCAGGTTGGTGTCGTCCTCGCAAGCCTCCTCGATGATCTCGATGGCCTCCGAGGCCACCGTGGCGCTCTTGTCGTACAGCTGGGTGACCAGCAGCTCCATACCCCAGTTCTGGAAGAAGGGGATCTGGGCGCGGAGTTGGACTCTGAGGTGGCCCGTGGCGTACAGCCGCATGGACTGAGTTTTAGGTTACAAGAGAGAGAGAAAAACGTTAGGTCTTATAGTCTGTCTCGACTTGATTGTGAAGCATGAACGACACATCCATTTACGGACGGCCAACAAAATGTAGGCCTTAATTCTACCCGCTTCAGACTTAGGCTTAAGCATCATACAGTGTACAGGTGTAAGACGGATGTGCATCAGAGCTTTTTCGGACATGTACTTTCTTAGCTTTCACGGGTCAAAACGTCAGCAATCAAAGCTTAATAGAACTGTCCAATAGGGACTTTTTTGCAGGGAATTTTGACAAGACTTTGACATTTGACATCAACTACACATGAATCTGATGACTACGGTAATGCTATCACTGGTCACCTGAGATGGCCCCCACCCATGGCGGTGAGCAATGTGATAACTACTTTGATAACTATATAACTATGGTGTTTCAATACTTTCTGCCATAGAAGGGGGCCATTAGGACAGGAATTTGCCTCAGGTAGGTTAAGATTTTTCGACGCACAAGTCAGTTTATGTGTGCATTAACCGCAAGAAGTTTATATAGAATATGTGGCTTCCGTATATAGAATATGTGGCTTCCAATGCACAAGTAACTGGTTAGCTGACGTAATTGAAGAGGTGCTACGTCCTGACGATTTACCTCTGAGGTGGAGGTGAGGAGTTTGCTGAGGATGGTCCTGCCGAGCCCTTCCCGGCTGCAATTGAGACAGGTAGTTATGAGCTTCTGCAGCATCTCGGGGCTCTTGGATGAACACAAGTCCAGGATGCTGTACGCGGAGAGAAAAATATCCCCTGACTCCACTAATCCCTGGGTTTCACATTTCCACGTTTTCCTCAATTTTTCGTTCAATGCACCAAGTCAAAGCTATTCAGAGAAGCTGTCATTCACACGACCGTTCATTAGCACTTGTGCAGGCTGATATTCTAATGTTTTATTGATTTGTTTGTTTGTTTTTTGGCAAACCTTGTACAATTCTTGCAAACCTAAATCCAGCGGCGTGAGTTCAGCTTAAAGCTGAAAACAGCTAGCAAAACTCTAAAATGTAAAAAGTTCCAAATCTTTTGCACGGACCAGGTGTGTAAAAAAGTTGAAGTCTGTGGTCAACATCTACACTCAAAAAAGCTGGAATCAGCTAAAAAAGCTGAATTCTCACAGCCCTGTGAGTCGGGCAAATACCCTGGCAAATACCCCAACGCTGAGGCATGACTCCTTTCCATTACACCTCATTTCTCATAACATATGACTGGGTTTCAGGGTTTAGAATTTTACACATAGTGTGGTTTCACTCTAACCACGTTACCACTTTCTCTTTTTCAGTGTTTCAGTCATTGAATGGTTATCCATCGTGGTGATCTAAATCTTAAGCGTAGTTGTAGTTCCTTGTACAATTCTTTGTCCCTTTTTTCCTCTTCCTCTGTTAGAGCTTCTCTCGTTACGCATCTTTATACAATGTTATTTTAATTTTGGGTTTCTTCAAGTTTCTTATTCACTACTACAATAAGCCTTTTGGGAGTTAAATTTGAATAAAATTTGGTACTTTTGCTTAGTTATACGTGCTATAAGAGATGTCTTGCACCAATTAAAGCTTGCCCCGAATCAAGAGGTACGGCAACAGTGTCTTTAGTCTGGGGAATTCATATTGTTGTGTTTATGTGCAATCAGATAACTCAGTGTACCAGATTTTATTTTAATAATTTAACTGGCAAAAGGCTTATTTGGCACTCTGGGCCCCAATGGTGGCGATATTAAACCAAGTTGAGGTGTCACATGCACCAAACTGGAATGAACAAGTCTGAGGACCATGTAAGACAGCTTCATTGGGGCTCATTGGAAAGGGGGGTAACGAGTGGGTAACTGGAAATGCCTACCAACCACCAAACGTAAGGAATGTGAAACTAAACTTGTCATTTACTCCAGGTTTCACTGGGTTTTTTTTAGCTACCTTGGAGTAACATTTTGAGTAACCACCAGTCCAGCCTTGCACTCTCCCCACTATCTAGAACTTGTCCAAAACATTGAAAAAATCCTTGTACTGCACTGGACCCAAAAAATGGACACCGCAGTATTGACGATGGGGTTCTAAAGCAGGAGCCTCTTAGAAACACTTTCAGACGAGGCGAGGAGCAGGAAGAGACTTTTACATTCACAACTACTTACTTCACTGGGAAATGGACCGATCCATTAGGCTCCGACCAATCACAGCCATGATTTATGTCTGCCATGCGCACACAAAAGTCTGACATGTTTGCATGTGCATACAATGCCCGGTTCTGGAACATTCAAGGGCAGTGGAGCAAATCAGGTGTTAAATGCCCACGTGCGCGGCGGCCGGGGCTTACTGGATCGGTCCCCAGGGACTTACTACTGGAACATGCCGGTCTTCTCCATGAGCTTCTCGCCCTTGGAGGAGTGGGAGATCTTGCCGATGAAGAGGAAGTAGTCCTGGCTGAGCGTGGTCTGGACGCTGATGGGGCTGAAGACGGCCTCGGGTGGGATGTTGTTGTTGGGTACCAAGCTGATCTCCAGGAAGCAGTCGGCGATGTCCTGGGCCAGGTCCCGCAGGAGGCTCTGGGCTTCATTCTGGGGATCAAGGCAGTCACCGAAGAGGATTAAATCTGCCCAAGATTTCGACAGAATGTGCACAAAATGTGTGGGCTTCAGTCTGGGGGAAAAAATGAGGCCTGATTTGACAAGATGAGTAGGAACTTGCAACAGCCACTTTTCAGTTAATCATGACCCTTAGAAGAACCTTGCATAATGTAAATCAAGGGGAACCCTTTTCATTTTTCACCTAAGTAATGTCCATTTTTCAATGGGATACCAAACTGAGTGATAAATCAAAACCAAGAACTCTGTCTGCTCTTTCTTTAATGCCAATTCATTGACTGCAAAATAGCAAATAAGACTCATTTTGTGGGATCTTATCACACATGGAGTATTTACATAGCAAACTGTGCCACCCATGGACTCTAAATGTATGGAATGTACATTAATGTTATGCCTGCTCATCGGGCTCATAAGCATTTCTTGACCCATCTCAGCACCTTGGAGATTACACAGCTAAAATTCTGTGTCTCAGGTGCAAACCGGCTTTTTCAAACCACAGAAACTCACCTCATCTCCGTCAAACAGGAACTCGATGAGTTGGCAGCCGACGAGGGTGTGCGTCTGCAGGTTGGCGGGTCTGACCAGCGACTTGGGCAGCTCAATGTTGGAAAACTGCTTGCTGCTGGGTTTGTAGAATTCCACTAGCCGTCTGAAAAACCTGGTGGACGGAAAGCAAGAAGGGGAAACAGATCGAAGTCCATAATAAAAGCAATCAGCGGTTCTCATACACAGGCAACATGCAATGTTAGTTCTGGAACATTTAAACAAAAAGAATTTCCCGGGAAATCGGCACAGACAAAAACAAAAGCCATCTGAGAGATTTCCCAAACAGTGTTTTCATTTAGGCTGACAGGTTCACAAAGGCTTGCAAAAACAACATGAATTGGAAACGATCAGAAATGAATATTAAGAGTATTCATGTTTAATAACGACAAATTCCAAAATACAATACATTTAAACAACTTTATACTTGCCCTGAAAGATATTTGTACAGTTCGTCCATCTGATGCAAGTAGGGCAGGCTACGTCAATTCTTAAAAATAAAACTCACCTACTGATGTTGGCATCTTCAAATTTTCTTAGGCAGGGCCCTCCTTTCTGTGTGGTGAGGTAAAAGAGAAAAAATCATTGGCTTGATATTAAAACTGGATTGCAGGGCGCCAACATTTGATGAAAATCAAAGTCATTCAGTCTGCCAGTTCACAAGCTATTCAAATGAGCTGTGACAACAGCCTTCCTTTGTCATTGTTCACCCTGTTCCTAAGTTATGACTGGCCTTGTGAGGGGACTTGAGACTGGACTTTTGAAGGAACTTGTGAAAGGACTTGTGATGGACTCAAATACAAAACTGGTATGTGGCAAGCGCATAAAGTGGTACTGTTGCAGTAATTGAAACCACCACCCATTCCAACCCGTTTGCAGAAAGCTAGACACGCCCCCCCCTCCCCCGCTCACCTTGATCAGACAGCTGATGACGTCCCAATTCCAGACTGTGTAGTCCTTGCCGGTGAGGACCTGCGTTTCTTTCAGGCTGCCTTGCGTGGCGATGTCATCCGTGTCCTGAACGCACCCAGAAAAAAATGCACGCTCATATACTGGAGCAGTATGACAGTGGACATTTGTGGGCATCGACCGCCCCCCGGACTCAAACTATCACCTGGCCACTCTGCTGGACAGCGTGACATGGTCCTTACTATGCTCTACCCTAGATCTGTTTTCTTCGCATCCTTCCCAGGAGGATTAATACTATTGACCATAGAATACTGAAGTGAATACGTCACACGCACAATTCTGTGTGTACAAGGCATTACGGTGAGAACCAGCGCTTGAACCAACACGTGCACGTACTTCCTTCGTTTGCACTGCACTTTCTGGTTCACTGCGATGTCACACTTCGGCGCGCGTACTCCATTCGTTTGCACTGCACTTTCTGGTTCACTGCGATGTCACACTTCGGCGTGCGTACTCCATTCGTTTGCACTACACTTTCTGGTTCACTGTTACGTCACACTTCGGTACTCTATGGTAATTAACAGACTCTTCGAGCAGAAGTATTATCTGGAAATCTTCAAAAACTTGTTTGACGATGATCAAAACAGTGTACATTAAAACAGTGAACAGTTAAAAGTACATCAAACTTTATAGGAATTTCCTGATACATTAATCCTTCGCATCGGTGGCCTTTATCAATATTGATGATGCTGGGATGGGATAATTATCACTTTTTTCTGTTTTCAAATTCTTTAAAAGTGCATATCTTCATTTACTGGACACTTACACCCACACGAAGGACTGTCTGGTTTCTACTCTAATCTGACAGACAACATCTATTGACGCTGGAGTATTTCAGCCAGGCCTGCTGTCTTGTAAAAAGAGCCCAGATTTTGTGGTGTTACCTAATTTTCTTTTGTTCACAAAACTGCCACAATGCGCTGCTGACCTCTTTTCAAAAGGGGCCAGATTAGCGTGCAGCGGTGCTGTGTGGCTCATTGTTGCGGTGGTGGAGCTCTCTTGTCCCCGGTGGTAATCTGTTTGCGCTGAATGCCCCAAACCATGCTATACTGTTTTAAAACAAGGCTCGATTATCTCCACTATTGAGAGTGAAAAAATGTTGGTAATTCCCTGCAGCCTGGTCTTTTGTTACAAGGCCCAGTTCCCTTTGATTTCGGAGAATACGTGTCTGAAACCAGAATCCCCGTCGGCAAATGGTTAAAAAGGGTAGTCTCCCTCCTAAAGCCTGTGAACAATGAGTGATTTGAACTTTAGCCTATTACTCATTGTGGGCCAATTTTTGTGCCTCACTGGAAAGCTCCCAACTTATACATGGCCCAAACAGTTGCCCATCACTTTAGAAAAAAAATCATTCAGGGTTCTCATTGCCAGTCGTTCAAACTTATGCTGTGATCCTTGGCAACTGCCAAGGAAAAATATTCTATTTATCAGTGCATAAAAAAAAAGATGTGGCGACAAAAACAGTGCATGAAGTTGAAACTTTGATCGTTTTAAAAGTCTTGCCAGTGAAACCCTGTTATTTCAAAATGTGTAACGTCAAAAAGTGGACAAAGCAACTCGTGATTGTTTTGATGGGAGTTCCTCCTTAACGAAAATATCTCTGTCGGTACTACATACTTACTTCAGAGCTTAACGGAAAAACTACCACTTGAGCAACACTGGCAGTTACCTTGTTCATGCATTGTTTGATCTTGTCCCGGTTGAGTTTAGATTTCCGGTCGGCCATGAACGTCTCCGACAGGCTCATGATGAAGCTGAGGAAGAGGCTGCAGGGGACCGGCCCTCGCTTGTTGAACTCGTGCAGTCGGTCCAGGTGAGTGACAGCAGCGCTCGCACGACTGACAAAGAAAACAATCTTCATTTTTAATTTCCGTCTCACAGCACCATTCGGTGCCAGTTATAGGATGATCATGAGTGACAGTGAAGAAGGCAATAAAGGACATATTCAGTTTTAGAGATGGGCGGAATATCCCGGATAAATTTTTTCCGAGGAAAACCTACAGGATCAGGTAGGGGCCAAAGACCCAACGCCAGTGCAGAAATACGTGTGTACGTGGAATTTGACACCCCAGTTAAAGTTTTCCAGAGTAAACCTACTCAATCAGATAGGGGCCAAAAACCAAATGCAAATGCAGAATTAGGTGGGATGTGAACCTGGGCCACATAGGCGGGATGCGAGGAAGAAGCCACTGCGCCAACCCCTGACTCCCCTGAACAGCATTTCTAGATTGGTACATGCACAAACTGCTACAAAATGCTTACAAATATACAAATCAAAAACAAAGACGGCCTAACATATCGAACCTAGAGGAGTCTTTCTCAGCAATCAAAAGAGAAAAGATTCTGCTGGGATCGGAACATCAGGCTAACTTTTTTGAAATTTTGAAGTTGCCGTGAAAGTGCAAGAGAATGGTTACCAAACATAACATAACAGGATAACTAAGACAAGCATTGGGCCAAGTCGCGCAGCAAACAAAGCGTTCAAAAATGAGGCTCAAAGCCGATTCTTGGTTGATTTCTAGGGCGATGGAAAATTGGGGACAGCTTTCTGACAAACGAAAGCTGGGAGGGGGGAAAATGCTGCATTCCCCAAAAGTGCCTTTCCTGTCAGACTGTATTTGTCCGTCCTTGGATGAATTCTGAATAAAAACCCCACTACTGAATGAAAGCCACTGGCTATGACTGTTTGAATTGTCCGTAGGCAGGTGTGGCACTCGTGGCCGTAGCCAGTTGATTTCAGACACAGGCTTGTTTTTCGGTCTGGGGACAATGTTATGCTAGTAGTCCATGAATAACATTTTGGCACATGACTCCACTTACTTTCTTTGGAGGACCGGGACATCGCAGGATGCGGCCAGAATCATGAGCGTCGGCAGGCAGTGGTGGTGCTGCTCGCACTCAGGGGGCAGGATCCGGTCCGCCTTGGGATGGGGGGAGGAAACATAGCCAGGTCAGTCTCACGGCCTTGCTTGTCGCCTTCTGTATTATTATTTTTTTAAATCCTTCAACAACAGGTGCAAAAGGAACCTGTTTCACTCATAGGGTCGAGTCCCGCCGGTGGTTCAACATTCTTACCTAAACAAGCATTGGCCAGTGATGCAGCGACTGCTTGCACATTTAAGTCGAGGTTTCACGACTGAATACTCACCATGTGGAGCAGTTCTCCAAGCAGTATGGTGGCCATGATGGACAGGTGCTCACTACCCGACGTGATCACTTCCACGATACTCTAGAAAAGGAGACAAAGATATCGCATTATTCCTCATGCACCCAATACAGTTGAATCAGCAGCACACTGGAGGCCTGACCTAGTGCAGGTCAAGCATGTGAGGAGAGATCAATGTCCTCTAATCTGAAGTCATACAGACCAAAGACCCGACTTCATCGATACGTGTGAGGACGGTCAATGTCCTAAAAGTCAAAACTTCTGAATTCTAAGCCCGACCTAACTTTTTGTGTATGAACATAGAAAATGTCCTCACAGCTTCTGTGGAATGTATCCAACAGAAAAGACCTCATTCCTTTAAGAGGACATACAATGTCCTCAAAGATTCATTTGTGCTCATCGAGGCAGTCAATGCCCTCAAAGCATCTGAAATTGCACCCCCCGCTTGTCTCTCCTCAAACAGGTCTTTTTACTTCTTCATAACATTTCGAGGAAAGGAAAAGCGAAAGATATTTTGGCACAAAGGTTACACGAAGAGGAGAACCTTGACATAGCCAAGTGTCACGTATCAATGATGAACTGCTACTTTTAAGCAGACATCGAAATGTATTCGTGCCTTGATGGATTCTGGCGTCCTTGACTACGGGATGTGGAACATAGTCCCTCTTCGTGCTTCTTTAGCTGATGAGTTGACCTACTGCAGTGCAGGTCTTGTGGACAGTGCAACTTGCTGTTCATATGTTTGGCATGGAGCTCTGTGTCCTCAACTGTTGTTCAAAAGGAATTACCTCTGTCCAAACTTGACAAAAACGGTGTGGTGTTCATCTTACAATGCTGACCCATTAAGAAAAAATCTCGTCAAAATATCCAAAAACATACCCTCAAACTAATGGAATGGCCCACGTCATGTACGCCAACCTTACCTCTAGCAGTCCGGCGTTGGTGAATGCCAGCAGGATCAACGCGAGGTGGTTCTCCGTCAAGTTGGTTCTCGTGGCCGCTCGGTGGGGTAGGATGGCTTTGCCTTCCTCCACAATAAAACCTTCGCTCAGTTGCCATGATGGCTGCATCTCATACCGATCTGATTACCAAAAAAACCCATTTGATATAGATTTTGTGTCTCAGGGTTGAAGAAAATCTCAAATATATGTTTTCGTTTTTTCACCGATTCCGCTGCTCACTAATCCAGCCACGTATGAAAAGACGCTACTGGCATTCACCGGAACAAAGAAAATTACGCAGCACCTCACAATTCTGGGCTCTCTTTTACAGGGCTGCAGGCCTGGGCTGAATATTCGGGTGTCAATGAAGGTTGCCTGACAGATTAGAGTAGCCACCAGAGAGTTGTTCGTGTGGGTGTAAACGTCCAGTAAATGAACACATGAATTTTTGAAGAATTTTGAAAACGAAAAATCTTGAAAAGGTCCCGCCATCACATCCCGCTCAAGAGAAATCCACCCGGCAGGTAGTGGTTAATCAAGTTCTTAAAAATAACGACCATGCACTCTAGCTAATTAAGGATTACACTCCAGTATCACTAAAACGTTCACGAAACACCTCAATCATTAGGCATAGTTCTACTGTAAAACGTTTTAGTTGAGCTAAAACTTATAGAGTAAACAATCTGGATGAGCATATTCGTTTGTCATTGGCCTTGAGTTTTCTCATTACCTATACTTTGTAGGGCAACATCAAAGTCGTCTGTCCATTCCGGTATGGGGATGTAAAAGATGTCAAAGAGGACTTGTAGCAGGTACCTCTGTAACAGCAATGGGGGAAATTAGTGTATCAGGCTTGAGGCACAGTACGTGACATGGTACAGAGTCTATTCTAGGCGCAGTTGATGACCTGCAAGGCGCGAGGCAGCTACAAAGCTCATATCTGTCCCCGGACCACAGCTTCACATTCACAGTGCGGCTGTGTCCGAGTTACTGGCTGTGGGTTGAAAACTTACTCGTGACGCTATGGGAAGTGACAGAAGCCACAACTATTGACTTGTGCGCAATGTCAAGCTACAGCCAAGAAATAAATAGACCCGATCTGTCGATCTCTGCAAAGGGAGGAAATAAGATGAAGCACAAGAAAAATTCCCTACAACTCTGCTCACAATGTGTCATTCGCTCCGTCAAAATGAGTCACAAGCCTATTTCCCCCCCCCCGTTATTTTGCTTAAGTGTGCATAACAAACAGCAAACTCTTGTGTGTTGTTGTATATCTCTCAGTTTGGCATCCTGACGAAAACGGACATTGTAGGGGTGAAAATGTGGAGGGTTAACATTGCTTCACATTGTGCGAGACTCTTAGAAAGGCCTTTGTCTCATAAAGTGGCACTGGTGACTCAAGACTCATTTTCACTGAGCGGGTGACACTTTGCCCGGTCCGAGAATCGAGACTGGGACCACAGAGGTAAGAAGCGAGTGCCTTACAAAAACTATCCAGCCCTACAAGTCGAGGCATTGACAACTTACCCGATGCTCCTCGTGTGGAATGCACAGAATTGACATGAGCGAGGTGAGACCGCTGGCGTCAGGTCGGCAGAGCCGTATCATTCCTGGTGACAAAAGTAATGGGGGAAATAAAATTACAGGTCATCCTTAATCACACATTGAACCCAGGGCATCAGAGAGATGTGATAAATTCTTGAAAACAGATTATACAGTGGACTCTCAATGTTCACAGCACTGTTGTCACAAAATACCGTAATTAAGAGCAGGCTGGTCCCTAGACCTTGTCCTAATGAAGGTTGACTGTGTTCTCATGGAAACCTTTACTCTGTGAGGTCTGCCCACCAACCACTTTAAAGATGAACGGTACTATGTTTTTGCGCAGCGATAAAATGCACCACCCATTCTTGCTGGAGCGTTTGCTCTTTGCGCGGGTATCCTGAGCCCGGTTAAAATGGTCGCCCAACTAGCCTCTCTCACCCTCCTTTACCGGGGCAGTGAGTTAATTGCATGATTGAGAACGCATTCGACATGTGCACCGCTGGTGCCCATCGCAGTAGCGGCTTCCAAATTCTGGTCACCGGTATAGTATATACTGTAATGATGCAAAGTTTGTAACATGCAATTTATGGCGTCAACGAAAATAAAAGCTTCAACCAAGACAGAGAAACAAGTGTATTTTTTTCCTACCTGGCCATGACCTGACGAGTGTTACCACGGCCAACCTGCTCGCCAGATATCTCATTTCCCTCTCTTCACTGGGAAAAAAAAAGCACAAAGAAACTTTGAGGGTTTTGTGAATCATGAATTCCAAAACACCACTCTGAATTGACGCATGTTTTTGTTTTTGGCACCATGCCTTTGAAAATGATTCAAACACCAGGGCCCAATTTCATGACATTGCTAAAGCACACGATTTTATGCTAGTGGCTCCATATACTTCATGGAGACCGGAAACAGTAAGCACAGCAAAAGGGGGGTGCTAATCTCGGAGGAGAAATTTGCTAAACTTGGTGGCGACACAATGGACATCTCTATGCGTGCATGCCAACGCAATTTTCGTGCTAAGCACAGCAACCGTGAAATGTTTGCTGTGAAATACGCCTACTGTCAGGCATAGTTTCGTGCTTTGGTTAGCTCCCCCGTAAAAAACGTTGCTTATTTGGTAAGCAGTGCCATGGAATTTGGCCAAGGTTTTGTTGTAATTGGCTAGTTCACAGAGTGAATTCAGTTGGAGGTTAGTGACCATCCATGACACGGCATGTTTATAATAACGCAAAGACAATGCTTATAGTGGGAACTCATCGCGTGCACGCACAGGTTCGTGAGTACTTGGTGCGGCCACATGGAGCACGCAAGACCAGCTTCAGGCTTAAATACACGGTCTCTGCGTATGCAACGCGCATTTGCATGAGCACGGGCAAAACACTTCCTCCGGCTTGTTATTACTACTAAGAACCAATGCGTACGTGAGTGCCTACATGTATTCCCAAACTAGCATGCTTGGAATTCTGGGAAACAACTGGCTTGCCCAGATAAAAAAAGGGCCTCTTTCCATTTCTGTTTTTCGCTACACAGTTCTATGCATTTTGAATTGTCACTTACTGTGTCTGTTCGTTGGTGTCTCCATTATGCCTGTAGTGAAAGTCTGTGTAAGGGGCTATTACTTGCTGAAATACAAAAACAGAACTCTTAAATAATTTGGCTGAGAGTGAAAACAACATTTTAAAAGCAGAGCTACACTTCCTCTCCCCCGTATTAAGAACAAGGAAGAATTTCGTTTAGAAAATGTAGAAAATTAGAACCAAAAAGTTTAAGGTCTGTCATACGTGTACATGTAAAGTCTAAGAAGCCAATCTTTAACTTCAGAACATTTCTATCAGAGATGCAGCTGTGGTACTTTAAAAAGCTTCTAAATAATGAAAATGTGATGTACAGTTTGAAATTAAGTGACAAGGAAAATTATGGTATATTGCCAAAAAATACATTGAAGTCCAACCAAATGCGACATTTGCCAGAAAAAAACACCCCAGCATCAACTGCCCAAGAGGTATGGTCAACTGCATACTCAGGGACACGACGGGCACTTGCCACGGACTTGACTGCAATGCTGAAGGGCAGGTTTGAGTGGTGACTAGAGTTAACTACAGTCTGACTGACATTACCCAAATGATGGATGGTTTGGACCATTTAAACAACCATTTGGAACAAGGCTCTGGGGTGTGGTTGTACCACTGGTTATCAATAGCCGCTTTCATTAATCGGTACACAGGGAACCATTCGCATGACAATGCTGAACAAGGTGTCCTTCACCATGCGCACCACGAAAGTTGCGACTAGCGGCAAATGTGGGGGGCTACGGGATGTTACAAAAACAGTTCTGTACACTGTTAAGAAGCAACTGACAAGTGGTCTCACTGTCCACCTCGAGCGGGACCAAGCGATGGCACAGTTTTCCTAGCTACGGAAGCTCCTCTGGTAGGGAACCGCACTTTGGTGGTTAACAAACGACTATGACATGGAAGCGTTTTGGTCACAACGCTACCAACAGAATGAACACTCCCGACCAACATGGCTCTCTTTCAACTGGTGAGGGGGTGCTTCCGCTCAAGGCGGACAGTTGGCATCTTCATGTAAACGTGCTCGTAAATGAACCTCTCTTTCCGAGTATCTTCCCTCACCTCTATGTCCACATCAAGTCGGATGTACTTCCTTGTGTGCGGATGGTTCAGCAGGTGTAACACCGTCAGCATAATGGACTCGTTCATGCGCAGAGACTGTGTGTCCAGTATGTTCATGATAAGTGTCGACAAGCCACCTGCCGCTGCAAACACGTCCGTGTTCTTAATCGCTGAGAAAACAAAATATTGACGACGGTATCAGTCAAACTCTGTGACCTCAAGATCTCAATACCTCTGGCCAACTTCTGAAAGTTGCTGAGACAAAATAAGCCTATTGCCAAGGTGACAGAGCTTCACTACTTGAAAGAACACTAACCTAGTTTTTGCTGAACAGTTTCATATGTACACTCCATGATTTTGCACAATGTAGAGAAATTGTGGATCCCCAAATCGACGTTGTTAAATTTTGCTCTGTGCACAACACAATTGAAATAGCAAGTTGGCATATTAACCCCTATGAATGTATTAACCCTCCTTTGGTTTAACAGCACAAATATGCACGAGTGCCCACAGTCACTCTCTTGCATGTTTTTCTATATGGAACACAAACATGCACAGGTTCAGTGTGTACACAGTTGGTTGCCAGCACAAAATGACTCAGGGTCTTTTGTGCAGTCCTCTTCACTGCATTTGGTTTACTGCACAACGANAGTTGGTTGCCAGCACAAAATGACCCAGGGTCTTTTGTGCAGTCCTCTTCACTGCATTTGGTTTACTGCACAATGACGCACATGAAACAGTGAAGCACAGTTGTTGGGCAGCACAAAAGTGCAATCTGATATTCCTGTGAGGGACAGTTGGTACAGTACACAACACAACACAGCTGAGCTGTGACCCAAAGAGTGACTTCAGCATAGGAAGGTTAACCCATAGTTAATACTGTGTGTACTTTTGCATTGTCCATCCCACAAAAATGTTGTGACTGAAATCAAAACAAGCAAAAGCAAAACAACACAGTTTCCTCTTCAGCAGTATTCTTTATCTCTGTGTCAAGAGAATTCCGGAGGTTGACTTGTGCCCTACAAGACTGGGCTGGGTTTAAGGCTGAGTCAATTCGAATAGTTCACTATTTGAATATTCGACCTTCAATTTGATTAAATATCCGAATGTTTGGTCGTACCGACTGGCAGCTTGTTGATAAACAAACCATATACAAAATCAGTTGCAATAACACACAATTGTACATTATAATCACTATAATAGCTTCTCACATCTAGGAGTATCTCCAGCTATGATTTAGCAAGATTTAAGAGATGAACAATACTTCTTGCCCTGTTGGAAATTTCCACTCCTTTTAAATTGTTCAATGAATAATTTACTTTTTAAATCGTTGTAAGAGTTTATTTGCTTTTTATTTGAATCTGCTTGAAACAAGCCTCTGTATTGCAATTTTTCTCATTTAAAACAAAGCAAAATTTTCCCTTCCTTTTCATAAAGTTTACAGTCGAATGTTCAAATTCAGAAAATGATATTTGATAATGGATCAAACATTCGGTTATTCAAATATTTGGCACGGCTCTAGCTGGGTTCATAGCTCCATGTAGGTCACACTGGGGGAAAATTTTCACAGATTCAAGGCGGCATGCCATGGACAGATTGCAGGGAGCCTCCAGGCAGAAAAAAATACCGCTTAGCAAATTTCCATGCCACGCAGAAACAAACAGAGAACCAGTCCCAACTGACAGACTTTACATGGCACTCTAGCCGGTCGCCTGTTCTCACGAAGCATTCATTTTCTATGCTTGGGGAATAACTGCTCCATGACACAGGGGGCCCCTGGACTGTTGGGGGGGTGACAGTGACTCACCGAGTTCGCTCAGTGTCTCCAAGGAGGGCCGGACCATCCTGTCTCGTTCCTTGGTGCCGTTGTTGGCGATGGCGACCAGCGTGTGCACCAGTGAGATGGGGCAGAGTGATGGGGCGATGGCAATTATCTACAAGTAGTAAGCCCAAAAGGTAAAGGTCCAAAGAAAATAACAGGTGCATCGTGGGAATTCTATACATTACCCGGGGATCTTTCAATGGCAACAGGCCTGTGGTTTGTACAAATGTATGTGACATTTGGACACATTTTGGACCAAGCCGCAGCCCACTTTTGCTGCAGAATGTAGCAGCATTCAGGGTTGATCAGTGGCGTATCCAGGTATTGGTTGTGTGTGTGTGGGGGTGGGAGAAACATGGAATTTCCTTTCCAAAACCGACTGTTCAGTTTGTTCATCCGTGTGAAAATCCTCACCCTCCTGACAAGGAAGGTGACTGTACCGTACATGTACATGTACAGTACCATTTCTAACATGCTAGCACTTCAATTCTTATTTTTGAAAAAATGAAAAAAAAAGGACAAAAAATGGCAACTGTCTCCAGGGGGGAGGTGTGCCCACCCCCATCCCTGCTTGCTGCACCTCTACAGCTACCCGGTACTCTGCACGACACTGGTTGCCAATTTACCATAGACACCGCACTGTGTATGGCAATTTGTCCTGTTCCTCAGACAAATATGTACCGGAAGGTGGAACACAGTAGACCATTCCTAACTTGTGCTTCACAGTCCAGGAGTGGCTCTGAGAAATCTATCCCCGGACACACAATTTCAACAGACTGATATTCAAAAACCATCAACATGGACACAAATGGTCGCTAACAGTGAGACCTAGATTACATATAACTGACAGACTTATAAATTAGACTCTGAATAAATTTAACGAGAATATCAGTAACAATGTGTGTCTGCAGTCAGGACGTATGTTAACCTACTGTAAGTGCTTTTCACGGCACTGGCCCTGCATGCAGTTTAGGAAATATATTTAGCCCAAGTCACTTTTAGATAAAATTATAAATAACTGAACGGACATGTCTGTGCATAATCAGTTGCTATGAGGAGCTCTCAGGGTGATGTCCGCAGAACGTGACGCAGAAAGGCAGGAACCATTGATGAATGTGAAGGAAGCAAAACCATTGACAATTAATGTCTTACAGGGATGTAGAACATGGTTTTTAATCACCTTGGAGACGCACGGCAACCAAGGCAAAACGTCTAAAAGCATCAGGCACCTGCACACCGGACCACGTTACCACTTCAAAGAATACATGCGTGATATTCAATTTCCGCATTAGTCTTGTTTGTGTGGATTCTCTCTGTCACGATTTTGTCCGGTTTCACTAGTGTTGGATGAAATTTGGTTCTGAAAGCTTACAATTACCTGAAATGGAGGGTTGAGGCAGGATGCCTACTGATACATGTATCTGGGTTTACTTGCCGAGGGGGAGGGGGGAATTGAGAGTGCGTCCTGATTCAGAATCCGGTCATTTGGGGAAAGCTACGGCTGGGTGGACTGAAGAATGGGGAGGTGAATTTTGAAGGATTGAAGGTACACCTTATTTATTCAGAAGGAATTTTATTAATGGAGATTCACAGGACTTTTTAACTGTCACTATTTCATGTACATTGTAAAATGTACATGTACATGTACATGAATGTCGATAGCTGGAAGAACAATAAAGCTATGTTCTTAGAGAAGAGACCGTGAACAGACATACCATTCCAGTTGGCATGAGCATTAACTTTTTGAAAATTACATTGACAATGATCAATGTTGGAGGAGTGCAGATGCAACCTATACGAAAGGAACTTTGCAGTTCTGGGATCTGTTGTTATTTTCTCACGAGACCAGATCCCACAAAATGAGTCTTAAGCTCGTTTTTCTCAGTAATTTGGTTTCAGTTTGCAATTTCTAGGAGCAAAAAGAGTTCTTAGTTTTGAGGTATCCCCAAGTTTGGAATCCCGATGAACACGGATATTATGTGGGTGACAGGTGTTGGGGTGTCCTGCTGATTTTCAATGTGCAAGATTCTTTTCAAGGCCTTCAATTCAAAACGTTGGGTGGCATCATTTTATCGAACGACTGTTTAAACTTTACCTAAGTGGAACTTTAATAGTCAGTCTCCCTGATGTTGTTTCACTACATGATGCGTCATACATGTATGCTTGTCAGTTCAGGTTAACACTCGTGTTTAGTTCCTCCTCAGCACCGAGAGGAACTGTACTCGGCCGACACGACTTCCAAGCAGTCCACGGCGAGAAGTGATTCATAGTGGAGTGGTATGTCCCAGCACATACAGGAACATGCGTCTCCGTAGACCATCCCCCCACGGGAGTGGGGGGGGGAGGGAGAGATGTATGCGTCACTGGTCGGTATTCCCCACTCTTCACGGGTAACCAGGCTGCCTGGCCTAATTACAAAATCCCACGTAGGCTTTTGCCAGGAACTATGAAGCCCAAACAAAGAACATGTTTCCCCAAAAAACGATTCTCTAGAGTGTCGGCTATTATCTGACTTTTTGTAAACTTTACATTTCCACAGTTACAAAAGGCTGTGGATACAATGTTGACGCAGATTCAGCCTGATCGTAACAATAAGCCTTTTGTGAATTAAATTCGAATAAAATCTGGTACACTGAGTTCTTTAAATGCACGTGAACATAACAATTTGAATTCTCCAGACTAAAGACACTGTTGCTATACCTTGTGATTCGGGCAAGCTTTTGCTTAGTACACAAGAGATGCCTTACATCAATACACTGTTTTCAATGGATAAGAAGGGCACAAAGGAACCAGTCCATTCCAGAGATGGTGGTCGCTATGCACAAGCTTGCCCCGAGTTACGAGGTATAGCAACAGTGTCTTTAGTCTGGGGAATTCAAATGGTTATGTTGATGTGCAATTGGATAACTGTGTGTACTAGATTTCATTCACAGGTACATGTAATGCAAAAAAGGCTTATTCATAAGTGTGAAATGCTGTTGAATGTTGAAACACAAGCAGAAATCGGTAGCCATAAGGAAAACACTACAGATTGGACAAGTCTCATTTACAGTTTTCGTTACATCAAAACCAAAAGCAAAATCTTTTTGATAATGTATCCTGCTCAGGGACAGCAGCTTACCCTTCTGATGAAGCGTATGGCCTGAACTCTCTCTATGTCGTTGGCCAGGCAGATGTCCAGAGATCTCATGACCAGGTAGTCGATGTGCAGGGTCATCATGGCCTCGACGGCCATCTCGTCCTGCAGGAGGTGGCGCAGCGCCCGGATGCCCGCGCTCCGTACCTCCTTGGTGCTGTGCAGGAGGGACAACCTTAAGCTGGAAAGAAACAACGGCAAAATGACCACAA